CGCCAGTCTGGATTTCTCCAAGTTTTATTTCTTCTGACACCCAACCATTAAAAAATTACTAAATAGGCATAACGCTGAGGCTAAAACAAGTCATACTGGGTAAATTTTGTGAATAATATCCTTAATAATTCAGGCCTTGTAGCCACTAACCTTGTATGACTCTTAGACTGTAAAATATAAATTTCCAGAATGTTGCCTGCCTGCGACAGAGAACAAACATAGAATCTAAAAGGGTAAGGGGACATTCTTCACATTTGCTTTTTAAATCAGCCGTACCCTCATAATACAAATCCAGTAACTTAAGAATAAGTAACACGTCAAACGAAATTTATAATATAGGATTCCATTTTATTCAAAAATTGTTTATTTCGCTTGATTTAATATCAATCATTTACTAACTACAGACTGCAATCACGGGTTGCATATATTTTACTGTAAACATGTCAAATATTTGTCTTTTATAACAGAAAATTAATTTTCGCAACATGCAATTGAGAGAAACTTGTTTGGTATGAAATATATTTGAATACAACTGTTAGTATACCCATTAACAAGAACAATGATAATAAATACACTTATCGAATGAAACAATAAAATTAGAAACAGCAGTTTGTGGTCATTTTATTTATGAATTATGTGTTGCGGGCGAGTGCTAACGTTCTCAGGACAGTGTACTCTGGCAACACCTGTAGCGATTCTGTGGTCGTCCGGGGTCAGTGCGTCAACAGAGTTGTGAATATCACTGCGCCCAGTATATCTGGGATAGACCATTACAATTGTAGCGCATGTAAACACATTTCTGTACCCAGATGCAGTGTTTAGCACTCAGCCTAACTACATCAAATACAGTCCTTGAGAACCTGACAGTTACTCAGATACTTAACAAACATTCATGTTAACAATTATCAAGTGCCGGATGAATCCAGTTTACATAGTCACACCCAATTTAAGATCAATTTAACAGCGTCCTCATAACAAACTGGTGACGGGACCTAACCTACCTCCTATTTGATGAGTTTCTAGGTAGTAAAGAAGTCAGGTGTAAAGCTAACCATTCACCTCCACCTAGTGCTGAGGTTAAGAATATGTGGAGCTGTATCTCCACTCCTCCATTAGTCTGTATCACACGCTTAATCAAGGAACACAGAAAATTTTACCATTACCGCTCTGCTCATCTTTTCTTTTGGGTGATATCTCAGCGTTGTAAGACTTGAGGTTCTCACAGCGGTGAGTATGAAGATTTCCGTCTTCTGGGTTGTTGCGCTGTGTAGTCTGGTCGATGTTAACCAACGTTTCAGAGGTCATACTGCGGCAGTATGACCTCTGAAACGTTGGTTAACATCGACCAGACTACACAGCGCAACAACCCAGAAGACGGAAATCTTCATCTCAGCGTTTGTTTGGAGGGACTGAGGAAAACTACCCCAATCACGACAAACAAACTCCTAGCCAAAATTCGAGCCCAATTTTTTTCGAAAACGATAAATACTATGAAATCGATGCCATGAATTTAATTCTGATAGCAACAGAATTATTTATCTTATTTTGTTGTGTTTGTTGCTTCTTATATTATTATTGTAAATGGTCAACAGAAGACTGAATTCAACTGCCACCATAATTAATGGCAGTAGCAGTAGACTTAGTAGTATTAGTAGTACAAGAAGGCTAGTAATTACATTAATGACTACTAATATGAATGCATGGGTTACTTACAGTGTGTTCTTCCATGCACTGCATCACATGCAGTTGAACTGGGAGTGGATTAATGCATTCCGCAGAACAGTCTTCTCATGCCAAACACCCAAAAAGCCACTTGTGTAATTTCGCTCTTGCAGGAAATAACATCAAGTTGAGGTAGAAAGCAAAAACATGCACACGACAGAAACGTAAAACACAATACAAACAGAAACTATAAAACGCCATTCCGGACTTAAAACGTTATCATAAAAACAAACTGTTTAAAAAGCGCACGATTCTCACACGTTCTAATTTGTGTCCGAAATAAAAATGTACTAGTATTATAGAATATTGATTGGACTATCAATTTTTCGCCGAAGTTTGTATTCTCTTCCGACGATTCGATGCGATTCGAGTACATTAAAAAATATTTACAGGGTACTGTCAACACAAACGTCACAAACTTAGCTACAATGAATAAAAAACTTAAGATGTTTCACCCAGGCTGAGTTCAGAGACTAACCCACTGGTTAGGTTAGCAGAAATAATCATAAATAAACATCAAAACAGTATGAAGATTTCCGTCTTCTGGGTTGTTGCGCTGTGTAATCTGGTTGATGTTAACCAATGTTTCAGAGGTCATACTGCCTCCGTCATCTCTGAAACGTTGGTTAACATCGACCAGACTACACAGCGCAACAACCCAGAAGACGGAAATCTTCATACTCACCGCTGTGAGAACCTCAAGTCTTACATCAAAACAGTAAGCATACACATTTTTCTAAAATGCTGAATTGTCAATTGTCAATTGTCAATTGTAGGACATAATTTAAATAGATGTTCAATGTTGGATTGCTTCTAAATAAATATTTAATATAGTTATTACTTTATTAACACAACCATCATCATCATCATCATCATCATCACTTTATTAATATTCGCTGTGATCGTGGTGGTAACTGACGCTCAAAGTTTCTTGTTACGAAATTTCATTGCTACAACTAACAGGATTGTTAAATTTTTAACCACGCTACGCTATCGTTTAACAAGCAAGCTCATCACTGACGTTTCTCGCTGGGTAAAAGCAAGGGACGTCATAAAATAAGCATTCAGCACATGCCTCAGCGTACAGTCAACGAAAACGAGCAAGTTAATTGCGTTAAAAACAGAGAAGAAGGGAAAAACATAACAGAGCGAATCCCAGACAAATAGTGACGCAGTTCCCCATTAAGTTCTGACACAACATCCATTAATTAATGTTCCATTGGGAAGGGATTTCGAAGGGTTGAAAACTAATGATAACAATAGTCGAGCATGCTAGAAAAACGAATCCATTACTTGAGGGTTCACTTATCAGCCGATATTACATTGATACTCTATAAATGAGGCAAAATACGAAAGATAGCAGAAATCAAACGTAAATGTCATATATTCTGGTTTGAAAGTAATGTATATAGATTACATTTTAATTGCTGCAATAAAGCAGCTGTATGCTGATTGTTACGAGTCACGTAGAAAGGGCGTGGAGATGGTTATCAAAAAATGTTGGATACATTTCATGTCACATTTACGCTCGCTGTTGGTGAAAATCTGAATAAAAATGTCATACAATTGTCGTTATTAAGCTTTAGAAACGTTTCAGATGACAGCACAATTTTTTATCCTTACATTCTCTGAGTTTGTTTCAGCTGCAAAAAACTTGTGGGTGTGGGTTTTGTGGTTTCTAGTATTAGCACAGTCAGCGAATCCGCCGCCATTAGCAGAGAAAAAGCCCCCCCCCCAAAAAAAAAAAAACCAGTTCATTACATACAGGCACACCAATACAAAAACCTAACAAAATAATCTTACGTTCTTTCCATTTGGAAAATGTCCTGCACAGACCACAGCCGAGGTCTCTCTTATAATTGGTTTCAACTGCCTCAGCAGGGCTCTACCCCTCCCCTCCCCTCCCCAAACACATACACAGACAATAGCAGTAAAGTTCAAAGCAGAACCGCGGATGTTCTTAAGAATTAAACAGCTTTCTTCAACAACGTCTATTGTTTTTATTATTATTTTGTCGAAATTCTGCTTTCCGAACTCCATGGAGCAGACCACCTCCAGACGACGTGATAATCCCTCAGTGCATCAAAAAATCCATTGCATTATATGAGACACAACGGATCACTACAGAGTTCTGACAGACTGACACCGGACGAATCCAGTCCAAACTCCTCCACTCTGTTTTCTTAAAAATCCATCAGTGCCTAGGTCTACCGAGTGACCCCTTTCCTTCCGGTACTCACACCAAAATGTTAACACGCATATCATCCTAAGACTGTATGGCGGAGACCACAATTATAAGTTCACACATAAAAAGATATGCACCAGATTAGAACACCTGAATTCATTTTTGATATGGTTATCACGTTATTACGAAATGGATGTAAGGTAGGTGTTTTATATGCACCTACTCGAAAAGTTAATGTATCAAACGCGTCCGAAGGCCTCAGTTGGCCCGCGACATTCTATGCACCTGCTAAAAGCTAGAACTAATACCATGTTATCTTGTTTCTTGATTAATTTTAACGACGTTTCCTCAACGACATACGTTATTTGCTTTCGAATAAAAAGATAACTGTGAGAGATAAACTGGTAACGATGTCTAAGGAATAAGTCGTGGCATATTTTAAGGCACTCTTGCACATACAACCAGACACAGAGTTTCCTTAACCAAATAATTCTGTAATGGAAATGAAGGGTCTCTCTCTCCAATACAAATTATTCCACGCTGTTTCTGTAACTATGGGTCTGAGACACAGAAAACAAACAGATGTTTCGCCCTCATGTAAATTCTGTAATGTATTAAATCGAAGGTAAATAACAACGTTCACGTCATTAGGACTGTCCATTCTCCAGATATATACAGCGTGGTATAGACAATCATCAGCAGGACGAGGGCATGAGGTTGGACAACGCTTCTGATAGCAAACATGACTTTCTTTCTAATTCACCGAGTTCCAGACAAATATTACCTAATACAGTATTCGTATTCATAGATCCGTATATGAGAGGCTGTTTTTCATAGCTTATAAATACTTCACGAGATACGCCCAAAAATGTAATCAGACCCTTGAGGAAGGCAGACGATAATAAACACAAATAGGAAATAAAATCATACATCTACGAGCTGTGTTATGTGGTTTCGTCAAAATCTGTCAAAGGACTTCAACATTTGTTAAGTCAACTTATATCATGCGTAAAGCAGTTCTTAAAATTAATTAATGTCAACGAAACGTAAACATCCGTTTCGAAAAGTCGTATTTTTTTAACAAAAATCTAGACGAAAGATAATATCCAGCGAGGTCGTTGTTCTAACATTACATCTTCACAAACCTTCAGCTTTAGTACACTCGTAGTGGTAATACAAAAAAACAATGTAAATTCATTAAATTTGTCAAAAGACATGATGTTTATGAGTTCAGAAGTTAATTTCTGCCCTGAAGTGGTCCTTAAAATGAACGCAAAATTTCTAAAGTTTAGCAAGGGTAAGGACTAATGGTCTTATTCTACAGAGGACGCCCACATGCTGACGTTAGTTTCGGTTCACTAAGAAAGCCTCACAACACTGAAACGTCACTACGCAACAAAAGATTCATCTACTTACCTTCGGATGCCAGATGTGGAAGATGCCGGGGTCAGTTGCTCTCACTACTTTAACGTGACTCCTGACGTACTTCCGGTACAGCATGACGTCTTCTCCACCCCACCCAACGATTTCTTCGTCGAAACCACGCACCTTTAGGAAGTCAGACCTGAGGAAGAAACATCACGTCACATTAAGCATGAACTTCTCATGCAACTCACACTCTGGTGCCAGAATTTGGCATCAGGATACTGCTCCGAAGAGGGAAAAATGGTCGACGAATTAAAAGCTATTTCATTAAAACATGCTCAGAACATTCTGTTCCTGGTTCCCTGACTTGTAAATACTTTGACCAGCCATTATTTTCGTAGGGTCTTTACATTTGTCGCATTAAACCTCTACATTTCGTACCAGACGAATAAAAACAGAACTAACAACTGTTCCTTTATACACATACTTCCATTAACATCAGTTCACAATTCAATTAAATACACACACAAGCACAAAAAACCAGGGATTCGTTATGATACGCGGTTACAATATATTATCAAATTACTCTGCATGAACCATGATTCTATAAGCCTCTAACTGACCTCCAAATCCAGTTCAGAGATCCTCTCGTTTGCATTCCGCGACCGCCTAATTGAGCTAATGGCCACGATAATGATGTTGGCACGACTGAGTGTTAGCTTGCATTCCATTTGATCAAACCATTAACCTTGTGCGGTAGTACATTAGTGTTACTGCAGAGTCATATACTTGATGTTGATCACTTCGATTATGCATTTATCGATGCTACAATTTGCGATATTGTTAATCTGACAGGAAAACCGAATCAAGGTATAATGCAAATACAAGTAACAAGATAGGAAATGTATACTCCTTGGAATACACTGGCATTCTAAAGGTAACCAAATATAGCGGTATGTGCTCGGCATAAACCTTGGATGGGGGAAAAATAGCGTACAGAATTTTGGTGGCAAAACTGTTGGAAAATGTCCACTCGAAAACTGATAAGGTAAAATAACATTAAGATAGGTCTTTTTGTTGTGAGGATCTACTATCAGAGTTATCAAATACAACAAACCAATATAAATATAAGTAGAGACAAGAACACGAGAAATTTCTCCTATTATTATTATTATTATTATTATTATTATTATTATTATTATTATTAATATCTTATTAAGATTTCAGGTTCTCAAGTATTAGGCTGACAGTCTCCTGGGATATTGATCTTGTCGTCTTGTGCAAGTTGACAGACGTTTGAGGGATGTGCACTGCGTCCATAACCATAACCTCTAAAACGTCGGTCAGCTTCTACGAAACTATACGGCGCAAGATCCCAGAAGGCTACAGCGACGGTTACGTATTTGAAAGCTTCTTTCCGCGATGTAACCTGGAGTGGCCGAAAGTGCCAAAATTGGAACCGAGAACCTCCCGAGTCGGAAGCGTTGCCACAACAACCCGTTCGGTTTCCAGAAGCCCTTGGGTCACTTTTATATTCAGCTAATCAGGCGTCATAACGAATCAATATTTAAAGAGGCGAGAGAAACCTCACTTCTGTGTGATCAGTCCTACAGCAGTTGCTGACAAGCTCTGACGATAACGACGGGACGTGACAGTGCTGACACCATTTTCGTGGTAGTAAGCTCGATTCGCTTTTTCACAAAGGACGGAGAACTGCAAAGACCAACTTTTCCCTTATTACGTGCATTTTTTTTTTAAGTTTCGACTACGAAGGCCTTCAGAGTTTTATTAAAACGTCACTGTCTGAAAGCGAATATTAACGTTCATTAAATTAACTGTCGATGTATTAGCTCAGGGACCACAACCCGCGGGTCGCATGTGACCCTCCGCAAACATTTTATGAAGCCCGTCACATGAGTTGGGACAATAGCACAAATTTTCTGGTATTGAGTGACAGCGACGAACCCGCCTTAGCCCGTCAGTCGGAGGGTTCAGTAGAGCATTCTCTTACACAAGTACACAAAACCTGGCTTCAAACCCACAGCATATTCTGCTACGGATAATAAATAGGATAATTTCCATTTTATTCGAATATTCTATTCAATATGCAAGATTCTCAGCAGGAGAGGCTAGTCATTTGTCTTTCTGCAGCAAAACGTAGGCTCATGCTACAGCCTTCACCTTTACAAGTTTCCGCTTGAAAATCTTCTTGCTACACACTGTCATTTAGATTTATGGTGTGGTAAAATGTTCTACGAACAGCGAATAATATAAGAGCTGACAATGGACCGTTATTGACTGCATCCCTAGTAACAACGGCTTCGCGAGTTCCTCTGACTCACCTCCATTTTCTCCTTGCCATCTGTGATGGTGGTAGGTTACATGATTCATTATCCATTTCCTCACGTATCCACACTCTAGATCTATCCCTTGCTACGCGATTGACCGCATCTTGGGGCAAGTCGCAGTCAACTATCTCTAATTAACGGGACCCCGCTCCCTAATCTCCGTCTGGATGTAGCGTATTCCCGGGAGTCAATAATTATTTTTACTCGCAAGACAGTTGTAGATATTTATAAATGACAATGGGTAGGACAATCTCGAAAACACGCTAAAAAGGGTTAAAAAGGGTCGAAACAGCCTTCATGAACGAGGTGGACATTTTCAGCATCTGTTCTAAAGTCCTAACTAACTAACTAGATGGCTTACCGAACCCGAAGGTTCGTCAACGAATTAACCAGAGCCCTCCACCGGACCCTGTCCTGGGCCAACAAAATCCAGTCTCCTTCAACTCCTATCTCCCATAGATCCCGCCTGAGATTATCCTCCCATCTACGTCTAGGTCTCCCCAGAGGTCTCTTCCCCTCAGGCTTCCCGACCCAACCAACTAGATGGCTTACCGAACCCGAAGGTTCATCACCGAATTAACCAAAGCCCTCCACCGGACCCTGTCCTGTGCCAACAAAATCCAGTCTCCTTCAACTCCTATCTCCTATAGATCCCGCCTGACATTATCCTCCCATCTACGTCTAGGTCTCCCCAGCGGTCTCTTCCCCTCAGGCTTCCCAACCAGTACCCGGTGCACACCTCTTGTCCTACTGGAAGTTATTCCTAACAAATAAAAACTAAAATTAAATCGTCTGTGTTGTTTCACTAATGTCATCAAAGCTTACAAATGCTTTCGGAGTTACGGCTACATTTTAAAATGTAACAACCTGCAGATGCACGGAAAATTTGGTGTTTGCGTTATTGCAAACGTAAATGAAACATGAAACAAAAATAAAAATGAAAGATTATGAAGACATGGAAAACGGAGACGAGACAAAGAAAGATAAGTAGAAAACAAGAAAGCAAAGGCAATGATTTCATATCTTATCCACAACTGTAATGTTTAGAAAGCTGTCAGTCCACAAATTTGACTTCTGCCTAAAGATCAACATAAGGGGACTCAGTCTGCGTTAGTTGAGTAGTCTCATCGTTGCTTGCTAGACTTCGTGTCCACATCTTACCTCGCTACTTAGCACACAACCCTTGTGGCAGGGAGAGAATAACTTTCCCAGCTTGAAGGGTGGTTTTGTTGTGTGCGTGATACATAAATTACTACCAGGGGGGCTGTTCTTGTGACTCCGCCTCATCTGAATACTGTGGCAGACAGGATAGGAAGGGTTTCAAGGCTGACGCACCCTGGACTTGTCAAGTATCACCTAGACTTTCTAGTTATAAGATAGGCTTATTCCTTGAAGGGTAAAGCTTCTTACCCTGAACAATGACGTATCATGGGACGGAACTCTGAAGACATTTCTGGAGGCTGGCTTCACTCTGACACTTCCTACAGCTTCCGCTGACTTCATGAAATGAACGCACGATGTGAGGATATTTCTTTTCATCTGTTCGTATTATTACTTTCAAAACTATTCAACACACACCTACAAGACTAAGCATCCAGCGGGGGGAGGGGGGGGGAGTGTAAACTAAAAATTAATAAATATATTATAAGAAATATTTTCTGAGTTTTGGCAGCGTCTTTAAATAAACAATAAATAAAGGAATAAATAAACCCTGTCTCTGAATTTATGTTATCTTTGAAAATGACTCTTCTCGGATTTTTGGGATGCTGCTCCGTGTAGTCTGGCAGACGTTTGACGACGTTTCGTCACGTTATCCTCTATTTTAGTCGAAGCTTGTTATTAGTAAAAACTACTGTGATCGAGGGCGTTTGAGAAGAAGGTGATCAGGAGAATATTTAGAAGTAAAAGGGATGAAGCAACAGGAAATGGAGAAAACTGCTTAATTAGGAGACTCATTATTTGTATTCTTCACTAATTACTATTCATATGATCAAATAAATGAGCATGGGTTGGGGTAAGTGGGGCACATAGTAGCGCGCATGGCGGAGAATTCCGTACAAAATTTAAATTGAAAAGCCTGAAGGGAAGAGAATATTCAGATGACCTACGCGTATTTTAGAGGATAATATTAAAATGCATATCAGGGAAATAGAGTTACAAGCTGTGGATCATCTGACCCAGGATAGGGACTAGTGGTGGGCTCTCTAAAACACTGCAATAAATTTTCCGTAAAAGACGATGAATTTCTTGAGTAGAAGAAAAATCTGGCTTCTGAAGAAGGGCCTCTCTCCAGGGAGTTAGCTCTGATTTTCCTTCAGACTTTCTCTCCTGCCCCACACCTCAGTTTACACGTGTTCTACAGCTGTTCGTGCCCCTCAAGTTAAGAGCCGCGTATCTTGGAGACATTACGGTGACAGCAGTTTTTGTCCGAGGTGCGGGGCGGGGGATGAAGTTGGTGCGTCTGGCTTGCGTCCAGCGGCTACCAGGTGCAGGAAGAGACGAGTGTCACTAATGTTCCTTTAATTTCAGCACCGTCAGTCCGCCCCCCCCACCCCACCCCCAAAAATAAACCCGACAGACTAGAGGAGTCGTATGATGAAGTCCAATGTCCGCGTGCAAAGTTTAATCGCTATCGTCTTGAGTGACTCCGGTTACAAATTATTATCGCTGCTGTGTGACAGACACTCATTATCAAGGCTAATTCATTATCATTAGAAATTATGAGAAACTAGCAGAAACGGGGCTTGCGTAGTGCTCCATTTAAGAGGCAACCCTAACTTAAATAGCATTTCTGAGATTCAGTGCCATCAACATAACAAGACGAACGAGATTCTTCTTAGCCTGAGTCTCGCCTGTCTCAAAACTGTCCGACGCCGGACATGTTTTCTGTCGCAGGACACACTTACTATGTCCCGAAACGTCGGTGCATTTTTGTCATATTCGTATTTCCGTGTCACGACAGGCATTACTAAATGATTTCGACGCGAAGTAATATTCGAGAATGCGCGCACGTTCTGCTCGTAAATTAATCATTTTCGCACCTGCACAGCTTTCTCGAAGCTGGCGTGAGCAGCGGCCTAGCAACCAGGATGACCTTGACTCGAGCGCACGGGGAAGGTGGGGACAGTCTTACACCGGGATTCACCTGTTTCTGATTCAATTTTTGCACCGTAATACGTGGCTGTTCTTGGGTTACGTTTTAAATAGTACCTTATACGTACACAACATAGGCCTCTAAATTCCCTGACTCCATTTATATATATATATATATATTGACTATATTTATAAAGTATGAATTGAAAATGTAAAATCCATCTTGAATACGAGAATATTTTCCTTTATTTCGGGAAGTGCGGAAAGCAAATAACGCATTACGGAATAAGATTCACATGGATAGCCTGGAACTCGTGCACTTAATATTCCAGGATGCCAGGGCATATTTCCGCGTCTAATGCCTAGTCTCCCTTCCTCCCTGAAACTCCGCAGGGCAAAACTCATTCACGGGGGCGTCTCCTCGTGTCTGAGGCGCTCGCCGTTCGTTCCGAGAAGAGAACTCGACCTGGTTTGTTTAGCAAACCTTTAGAAAAGATTAATGGCATCTCATATGTTTGCTTCTTCCTTGCTTATTTCCTTCCTAACTTCTCTCCCTCTGTTTTCTCTTTCGGTCCCCACACAATTTTAGTTACTTGTACACAGACTTTCATTTAGCTTTTATAATTTGACAATCGGTAAGAGTTCTTGGACGGTGAGGGTGTATCGGCTCATTTCAAGAGGGATGGCCGATGAATGACAATATTTACGCAAACCCTGATCGAGATTCAAACCAGAGACCCCAGTGACAATGAATTCCAAAATCAGGTGACAACTTGGTCAATGCGATCGGCAGACATCCCACCCACTAGCAAAATACCGGCAACATAATTCTCAACTTAATTTCCTTTACGTAACTTGGTACAAAATTATCAACACCTAAAAAAACCCTACCCGAATCATACTTCTACATTGTCAACTAAGGCAACATGGCGACTGGGCGACCTATATTTGCTTCTCTATGTCACAGCGATAATCAATTAACTAAGCGCATGACGTTTTACGAAGAGTTCGTGTGTCGACAAAGCCTGGCACCAGTGACCTACTTCAAACTGAAATATCACATACATATGCATCCCAGGGTAACCAAGGATCACCAGCGCTTAGCCCTAACAACCAAGGTATTAATCAATGTTTCACACGTGGTCGGCATACCTGTACTGGCACGTCATGCCGTATCCAAAGTCCCTCCAGAAGCCGGTGTCACGTGATATGACGAGTTGATCCGTCTCGGCTGGCACCTCTTTGCCCTGGAGGGTGTACACGACGTGGGGGTTGTACAGGCTGAACACCACCGGATAATACACTTTGCGGCCAGGCTCAGTGTTCCAACGACATCTGTCCAGAAACCGCGCACTGAACACGACATCCACGTCACACATGAAAAGTAGGACATCCCCGTTATGACGGCTGCTAAGAGGGCTGTTTGACAACCCCTGCTGATCCCACGCACGTTCAGCACCAACCCTCAACCCCTTACCACGAGAAAAGGTCTCATTCAAAGCCAATAACCTTAAATTGTTACTGTTACCACCACTGTTTTTGGTCATCAAGACTCTTGCCATTATTCCACGAGCTTCCGCCAAGCCTTCTTCGCCGAAGTACACAACAGTTAGGTGAACTCGTCTATCGTTCTTCAAAGCAATCTTCACGAATTTGTCCATGAAACTCTGAAAAGTCGCTGTCCGTCCTGACAACGGGAGTATAATGTGAATCAACTCTTTGTCTTTCGCAACTGGAAGCGTCTCTGAAGAAACAGTCTGTAGGGGTGCAAACGGCCTCATTAGGATAACTTTGGTGACACCGGTAACGGGCGCCACTTGGTCCATATGACTTCTATTATTCGTATTTTTAGTCCTGAAATACATTTCATATTGAGTCCCGGTTGTGGGCTCGTTTCTGTAAAGTCCTTCCAAAAAATCATCTAATGTATAACGATTCGGTGAATTTCTTGAGTTTTGATTTTGGTGATTATTGTTATTAGTAACCGTTGAAGGAGTCGTTACGTTCTTGTTTAAGGACTCGAGTGCTTTCACTAATACTTCCAGCAGGTCTTTGCGTTTGAATCCGATTGGCTTTTCGACCACACGCTTTCCGAGTCCCAGATCGACAGGATACACCCGGCTGAAGGTAAAGTGACTGAAGGCAATCAGCTCGTACTCGTTGTTGAAAGGCAGGCCTCTGGTGATCTCGGCCAGACTCAGCTGTCTTCTTATGTAGGAGCCACAGTCCCCGGAAACACCCTGCATTGTGGAGGAGGACGAGGATGACGATGACGAAGTCAGGTTGAAGTTAAGGCTCGGAGGATCTTGCAGCTGCTGGGAACCCAGGGCGGAAGAACCAATGCCGTTTCCTGTGTCAGAAGAGAACAAATAATTAACGCCGGAATTTTTCTCTCGAAGTTCGCAATTTTCATTAAAAGCTCATTTTAAAGGGTTTCCTCCGAAACAAATATTTCCAGAAAGCCTGTGCGCGCAAGGAACAGATTCAAATATGAAAATGTTACTGATAATTATATCGTATTAAAAAACTGTTACTTTATTTGGTTACTGTACGATATTTTACCAGTTAAGTACATCATGTAGCGTCGAACAGTCGAATTATGAATTATGGCTGTTAAATTCGAAACACATGAAAAGAACCGACTGCGATTTACTGTTATGTATTGCACAATTTTCGTAGAGAGACTGATGGAAACATCAGTAAAACAAATTTGGCTGGCCAAGCATTCGAAATAAGAAATAGAATTGCTAATAACTACACAGCGACGTCCAGTAAGAGCGCACGCATTAGGTTAAATTTACAAATAGTTTCCTAAAATTGGAAGTTTCCTTTCGAATACATGTTTCAACAAATCCCTCACCTTGTGATGCCAGAGAAATTGATTTAAATACCAACAAAGTACGAATTTATGTCGAGTACTTCGATTTTAGAATTCTGATACATATTACATCGCTTTTAAATAGTCACATTATCAAAAAAGAACACCCTGTACATTTTGAAACATTCAGCTTGAAACTTAATTGCTTTTATCAAATAGACTGAACGGCTTCCGAGTTTCAGCCTTTGATTTTACCTGCGGCTATTTAAACGCTACGGATGTGAAATTGTCTCCGATAATTTTGCAGGGGCTATACACATGTCAACGTTAATAAACGCTTTGAATTGCAATGTTCCGACCAGAGGGAAACATCTAACCGGTACAGTGTCAAAGCAAGGGAAATTACCTGCCACACGATAAGAGCAGTCACATGACTGTGAGATGACAATTTTTTAGTTACTCAAGTTACTTTGACACTATATATCACACTGGCTGATGTCCGGAAGTTCATCACAATAGCGCCTACTGAGTAGCCAACAGACATCCGAGCTTAACACTAACACATTAATTACATGTTTAAATTTAACCACAACACCTACGTGCGACTTACGTTATTGAAATGGCCTGTACTTTTAAAAAACGTAAAAGCTATTTTTGACCTGTTCGAATTTCAGTGTAAACTTCTCAACTTTCCGAACAGCTAGCTGACAAACAAACACACCACTTTATTCCACCACCGACTACCACATTACATGTGTAGCACTCTAGAGCTGTTTTCAGTCGAATCCCATGACAGAGTTATTTCGTGGTGTTACTCGGTCTCTCCAAGAGAGTTTTAGAACATTGATTTTAAATATACCACGACCACGTACATCAAAAATCCTTACTTATGGAATTTCTATGACAGTCTTTCTACGTAATCTGACCGTGGTTCCGCAGCTGGACCAGCGTTGTTAAATAAGCCAATATTAAAACATCCATCAATGTACACAAGGATGTTTGTTGCCCTTACTGTCGGCTGCAAATGTTCCCGGGAACTGCCATCAAGCCGCTGTAAACTACGGCGCGTTCTACTTCGTCTTGCGGCTCTGACAGGTAAGTTCAACAGCAGAGCGGAGAATCCAGTAGCAAATATTGACACGAGACTAAATTCTGGATTCAGTGTTTGTTCTCGTATTTCACGAAATGCTTGCAAACAGCGTCCCATTTCGTCAACACGCAGTTAAAGGAATCTTTAATATTAGAGGAAACTGATAAAAAAAACTTTGAAAGGAAAGATCTGACGGCCATCCTGCAACACTGTGCTAAGCGACATCATTCCCGGTTGTTACACAAATCTGCCGTGGAGTAAACGAAGTTTTAAATTTTTTTTTTAATATTTACTTGGTATTTTCATTTGTCAACTAATACGTCACTGCTTGGTGCATTTCAGCATTTAGACACATTAAATATTTCGAGTATTAATGTACTGATAAACACAAGAATAATTACAATTTTAAATCACCCCTTCTATTTCTGTATCTCAATTTGTTATTTTGCAAGGCTAATTCCTTCCTCATTTGTTTCTCCCTTACTTGTTCATTTCATCCTTTCGTTATTCCATGTATTTTTTCAATCCTCTTCCTTTCCTTAGCACGATACATCTTTCTTTCCCTTTAACACCTGATTCTATAAAGTCCTCTAAAAATTAATATCTGCAGATATTAGGCTTTTATCTAAAATTACACAAGTTCCATATCTTCCTCTTTAACGTTCGTAGCGCTCGTATTAACTTTCGCTAACTGGAATCAGCAAAAACACAAGCTTATGTCGCTCTTACATTGAATGTATTTATAATACTGCTCAGCCCTGTGACTGCTCTAATTGGATACATCTTCAAATTTAACGAGAATCAGACAGACAACATCTTGTGGCTACTGCCGGAACCAGCCTCATAATAACAAAACAGAATCTCACTAACTTCCGTACGAAACATCGACATGTGTTCGGAATTAGCATCCCCCGTCAGCGACC